TCTCTCTATATATATATATATATATATATATATATATATATATATATATATATATATATATATATATTATGTATGCATGTATCATTACACATGTGCTATGCAACAAAGTATAGAGGACAAAATATCTTTTAGTAGCAAATAATAACTCGAGTAATAAATGCAGAAGAAAAACGAATGATTTGATAAATTCTAAGTAGTCGTTTCTCGCGTGCACTTTTTCATGTGTTACCGTTGTGGAAATAATGTATTGCTTTTGTCATTACGGAGGCGTGAATCGGAGAGCTGGCCACTTCGATCCTGTCGACAAATACAGGCAAAAGACGTAAGTTAATTTTTTAAATGATAAATTGTATTATTATTGCACTTTAGCGCGAGGAAAGCAAGTTCGCATCGTATCGCTTCGTTCAAATAAGTAAATGAGAGCGTCAATAATGGTAAGAAATGCATAGGACGTGAAAATTTTGAAGCTTCATGCGACCGAATAAGTTACCTTTAGATAAATTAAATATGCCCATGATCCTCGGGGAGTACTTTAATTCGTGCTACCAGTAATAATAAGTACACCGAGCGCGTGTGGCTACCGATTATGATCGAATTGGGTATTTTTGCCGACATGTTGAGGAAATTTATATTAATGTAAGATTTAAATATGACGTTTATATTGTGACGATCACGTGCCAAGTGTTATCGATCAAGTGATATAAAATGGTAGCTATATTATCAAATTTCATTGAAATTATTTTAAATTAACGAGTAGTCCAGTTAGAAAAAGTAATTATTAATTATTATCACTTTATTCTTAGGACAATCTTTGTGTATGGAAGTTTTTACTTTACGACGATTTCATAAAATTAGATAATCGACGTATATTGTGCTTTAGTCGCAATAAAATAATAAGCGTTGGCACATCTATTGACTAAATAATTAATGATAAAGGAGATCGGTAAAATGCTTAAATAACTTAAACGAAAGAGTACCTTGATCGATAACGGACGTGCTTTTTATATTTAATCACAAAAGATAGATCTAAAAGAGTATGGAGAGCGTACCCCAGTGAGTTTTAGTGAGTTTGTAATTATTGTCTCCGAAGGATCTAATGGGAAAATGTACGGCAGCTAGCAATGACGGAAGACGTTGTTGTCTCTTATTATCTACATAATAAGTCAGTTTTGTGAATCAAAACGAAATCTTACGATCCTCCCTGTTTAGCGTTTTGAATCGCTTCGAGGCTATAAAAGGCTTTTTGGAGAAATATACTTGTCTACCTCAGAAAGTCGACTAATCAATGCAGTCACGAGTCCAAAAGATATTCGGCTCTTGAGTTCATTTTGCAAGAAAATAAAGGTGCCGATAAATCTCGTCGACTGCATTATAATTTTCCTTAAAAAAAAAAAAAAAAAACAAACAAACAAACATTCAATCAATCAGGGAAAAAAATTTTTTTTTTTTAAATACGGATTTATTTAATTATCAGTAATTATAAAATTATACGAGATAATGCTGTTATTCATTCACGTATTGTATTTTCGTTTATATTTTTTCAATGTTTCTGATAAAAATTTATGTGCAAATCTTTACATTTTAATCTATCTCGACTATATTTTACTTTTAATATTATTAAAATTATCACAAAAAACACATAAGGTATTCGATTGTTGTTTTTAAATTGAAATTTTCAAGAAAAAAATTTCTAATATATTTACGAAGATAAGGAAATAAAATATAATATACCTTTTTTTTTAATTGTCCAAGCAATTTTAAATTAATTATAAGCTATTTAAGGAGAATTATTAACAAAATTGTTGTTTTTGTGTAAAATTTTAGAGGGTAACAAACGTATTTTAAGTTGTTTTCTGCATTGGAATGAAGAAAGAAATAGGGAAATGAGAGAGAAGGATCGGATTTCATTTTTACGCGATTCCTATGTTCAATGTAACGTTTTCTTACCTATGCGATACACTATATTAGAGGAATTAAGCTCGAAAGCTCTTGACACAGACAAAAAAGAAAAGAAAAGAAATGAAAAGAGAAAAAAGAAGGGGCAAAAAAAAATAATGCTCGATTGCGTCTAAATAAATGTACTGAGAGTTCAAAGAAGTGATTAATTTCACGTAACATTTCCCGAATTTGAAAATATTTTTAGCCTATGCCAAGTTATCAATAACGATAACTTGCGATTTCAATTTGAAATTACAATGTAAGCTGTTATTTAAAAGGAAAATAAGATGGCAAATGACAAATATAAAGAGAAAGTATATTTCCATATCTGTTGTCCTAGGCATTTGTTATTCAGACAATATGAACCACCGTAATGTTAAGCTTATAATCAAGGATTTCCGACTTCAAGATCAGCAAATACGTCTTCACAAAACCGGGAAAATGTTAAAAAAAAAAAAAAATCAGATTTTGCGAACATATACGCGTTATTGGCGTGGTACCTGCTTAATCGCCAAAAAGTGTCGATAAACCGAAAAGGTGTTAATCAATCGTTTATGAAAGTTGAACATTTTTGACTATGTACATTGTTAAAGTCGAGGAAACTTTCTTACCAAATATAGATTTTTAGCATCGTTGAGCCATTCTTGTAATATATTTCTTTACTTTTTTCTTTTATGTTATTTATAAATAATACGACGAGTTTCTAATAAGTTGTTGATAAAAATCAATAGTTCAGTTCGTAGTAATACAGAGAAGTTTAATACGTAGTAATAAGATTTGTCACATGAATAAATAAATAAATAAATATATACAGATATTTACTGAATACGCACCAAATGCAATGCATTCATTTATTCACATGACAAACCGTATATATATATATATATATATATATATATATATATATATATATATATATATATATATAGATAGGTATATTTTAGAATTGAATTTTCACGAGGCGAAATGTTATTGGACGTCATTTTAATCATATATATTCGTCCTTCTTGCATGCGAGTGCTCGAAAGTAATTGCGTAAATGCCTTTGTATGATCTGAAATTTTTTTTTTTTATCAAAGCATCACTCTGGCCTCATTCCTTTCCGTCGATATTCTTTTACCAGCACTTAAGGATTCGATGAAATTACTACATTGTAAATATTTGTTTTGCCAAACACATTTATTTTAAAGTTATTTAATTAGTATCGATCCTATTGAAGAAAGTTGAGACCGACGCAGAGTTTTTAAACGGAATGAAGATGAAAATTGCTAATCTCAAAATGTTCACGATTCATGAATATTCATTTTCAATGGGAAGTGTGTGAATTATTATTTGCTTCCTTCAAATCTTAGTTAATGCGAATTTTTATTCCTAATGTAATGAAATAATTATCTGTACTATGTATTTATTTTGGAGTGAAAATTAAGTGGAAAAATAAATTGTGTCATTTTCGCTATTATAAAATTAAATTTTGCTCCAGAAAATTTAAGAAAATTTTGCGTCGTATCTGTTGTGATAAATGTATGTTATTTTAAAAAGTTAATATCTAATTGAAAATAATGTAAGTAAGGCTCGACTTGATGTCGTTGCTACAAAAAATTATTAAAACAAAAAGACATAAATAGTTTCGTGTGATACAAATAAACTATATCTTTTAAAAAAAAAAAAAAAAAAAATTTGTTTCCTACCTCATTACACTTTATCCTTAAATAAATTCCCATTGATCCTTATAAAATAAAAATCTACTCTTTCATAATTTTTTATAAACATCTTTTATGTTATGATGATAATTTCCATTAATATATCCTTAGCACATTATTATACGAATATCATTGGCTCATAAAATCTGCTTTATTACTCTTCTTATTTTTTTCCTTTTCCAAATAACTAAAATAAATAATTGTTAACCGTTTTATTTAATCTGTCTCATGAAATGCTTTGATTTTTTGCTAACATTAAGCTACGACATTTGCTTTTCTAATAATTATGATTCGAATTCGAATCATTAACGCAATTAGGCATTATATAATATACTTTCAAATATGAACAAACAAACAAAAATAAAACAAAAAAAAAAAAAAACAAATTTACTGAGCTGTGGACAATTTTCTCTTTAAAATCATTAGAGATTAATTGACATTAAATCTTGGGGAATTCATTCCTACAATATTCTTGCATTAATCGACGAAAGATCACAATGGGGATGAAATCTACTATAACGATCTACTATAATTTCAATGTTTTTAATGTCACACCAGTAATTGTGTACCAGTAATTAAGTATTATTCATAAAATTGAGATTCACTATTATTTACGTAAACATTAAGTGAAGAAATTTATTATCAGACTCGCGCGATACGCGTAAGCACAACTAATCGGCCTAAATGTTTTACTTGCAGGATTCGGTAAAGTCAAAGGCAAATTCACGCAAGATTCGCAGGCCTAAATAAGCGAGCAACCATATTATTGAAAAAGTATCTTTTTAATAATGATCTCGCAATGACGGTGCGAGACAACGATTATTGGTCCCTCGATGTTATAGTGCAATTGACTTGAAAATCAATTCTTTTCGGTGATGGTCGGAGAAGCTAGAGTCATCGGGTAAAAATGAAGGATATTCGAGCTAATCGAGGTTGATTGAGCCGAGGGCAGCAGCTACGGGGGGTAAGATTGCGAGTAAATCGGAGTAATGGGGGAACGCATTTTTGTCATTCTTATGTGTCTGTACGTACTCTTTATCCGGCGAAAACGACAAATCTTTCACGTAAT